AAATTCTGCAAGAGCAGCATCTGTGCACACAATTGAAAAATTTTAAGATGGCCAATTTGCTCCTGGAAGCATGTATCTGAAGGATTGCCTAAGAACCTTAGGGAAAGCTACACATATAACAAAGAAGGCCAGAGGCTACAAAGGTGTAGAAAAGCAACAGAACCAGGGTCTGTAAAGCAAAACAAATCTGCAGAATGTACAGCAAGACCCAGAGCTCACTGTACACATCAACATTAACCTGGAGAAGTTAAGCAAAACCACCATAAAGAGACCCCTTACCCTTTGCTGATCTTTGAGGAAATCCAAGCCCCTGGTGGTCCGGTTGTTCTCCACTGACTGGCTGTTGCTTTAGGATTCCAGAGCCTCAATAGTGCTCTTGGAGTCTCTTTCTACTGGCCATTCTGTCACCTGGCCGTAACCTACAGGCTATTTTTAGTTCTCATGTCTATAGACCCTGAAGGTCTCCATCTCCATTTACTTCTGCTTATCTAGGAAGACAGAATCACCCAAACTGCAGAGAGATTTTTTCTGGTGTTTCTAAGAAGCAGACAGGTTAAAGATTGAGTTATACTGTTTTCTTGGCCTCAGCTCAAGACTATGAGGCATGAGGGACATTCTGCTGCTGTTTAATATTTACTGAAAGCTCACAAAGCTCTAATATACATGAGAACAAAATTATGGCCTCTGGGGGATGGGGCTGAGTCTTCATTAAAAGCTACAGTGCTGACTTCCCACAGAAGCAGAGCAACAGTTAAGGAACATCACCTATCATGATTGGCTGGTGTGACTGTACTCAGCAACCAGGGCTTTCCAGCAAGATGGAGAGGCACGCCCTGTTTTCTGCTCTTAGGTTCCCAAAGCACAGATTCAGCTCCATCTATGCAGTTATTACATTTTAGTTATTACCACTTACTTACTGAGTCTACAAACATTTTGTGAGTGCAGCCTACTATGTGTTAGGCACAAATCAGGTGCTATTAACTGTTGGTAGGATGAACAATAGGAACCTCAGCCAGGGAGAATGCAGTGAGTACGGGCATGTGTAGGGGGCATAAGTGTAGGATTGAAAAAAAGGTGTTGCTTGAGCTAAATTTTGAATATGAGTGGGAGTTAACCCAGAGGATAAGGAAAAAAGAAAGCATTCCAGGAAGAGGCAAAAACACATGCCAAGCATGGAGCTATATGGGGCCTCTGTCATGACTTAAGAGATATGGAGCCAGCCTGGGTGCTGGATAGAAATAGGCAATGGAATCTGCCTTCACATAGGAATTAGCATCAGCCCAAAAAACTGGTTTGATGTAGTATGCTTAAAATACTTCTTTAAAAGAGAATATTCATTTGAATTTCAGGGAGAGAAAAAAAAAAAGCCTCAGAGAACTGGCTTTCTTAAGGCCAGGAAGAGGGACAGTCCTGATAAGTGTTGACCTTTGTAACTTTCAGAGGTTTTCAACAAGAAACTTTCTACAACCTAAGATCCAGTAAGTAGAGAATATAGTAAATCACCGTGGTATTGTCTATGGGAGACATAAACTTAAAAAACAAATACAAACAACAATAAAGAAGATGAGCCAGCTATTCTACAATATTGTTTCAGAGAGATCACAGCAATAGGAAATATTTTTCCAAAACCAGAAATCATATGTAAAGGACTTTTAACTTGTAACATGCTATCCAAATGACTGTTATTGCCATAGGACAAGAGTGTCATCAGTTCACTCAAAACACACACCTGGCTGAGGTGGCACACACCTTTAAACCTTCTACTCAGGAGACAGAAGCAGACAGATCTGTCAGTTCGAGGCCAGCCTGGTCTACACAGAGTTCCAGGCCAGCCAGGGCTACATAGTAAAACTCTGTTTCAATTTTTTAAAAAATGGGTAAAAGTACCTTTGGGGAGGGGCTGGAATGTGGCTCCCTGAAGCAGCCCATCACAGCAGTTGTCAGTGATGCCTGGGAAAAGGCATATTCTACACGGATTGCTGTAGATACTCTGTAAAGCTGGATTTTCCACATCACTTTTCCTGCATCTTATATTAATAGTAAATGAATAGAGAAATGCAGGTTGGTTCTATGTGAACGCCTCAAGGGCAAGAACTCATTTATACAGCATAGTGTTGGCAAGTAAGTAGCACTTAGTATGTATGCAGATCTCTGAGGGGATGGCTGGAAGGTGGGTGGAGAATGGAGAGATGCTATAATGGAAACAGTAATCATGTCTCCAGCTGGTCACTGACACTCTAAGTTTCTAGGCCCAAAGCTGGGGAAGCAATTCCAGTCCGAACTCAGTCATTAAGATAGAAGGGTGGAGTAGATAATGATACTCCCATTAGAAATGAGTAAGTAAATTTAGGAAATGAAGCAGCAGTGCTAGAGGGAAGCATGTGGGGCTGAGAGATAAGACAATGTAGAAGAGATGGGAGACCATTAGCATAAATATGACCCACTTAGGAACAGGTGTGAAAAAAAAACAAGGAGTGTTGGGAAATGGGTCTGGGAAGGTTTTACCATCCATGTTCCAGGAAAAGGAAGCATTTTAAAAAATAAGGGAAATGTTGGAAGAAGAAAATGGTTAGAATGTGGTCAGAGAACCTACAGAAGATCAAAGGCTGAGAAATCCAGACCTTTGTGCACATTCAAATAAAACCAGTGATGTGTTCTTTTATTCTCATTTGGAATGGAACATTTTTTAAAAGAAGATTAAGGCCATCTGGGAACACCCATCACACTCACTGACTCAGGTTGTGATTATAAGGGAGGGAGCTCGGCACTATTCTTAGGAGTTCTCATATTTTAATGTTTATCCAATACTGGATAACAGGTGATGATACCCAAGGTCCAAGATTTGGGGAGCACTTGGATCACAAGGTACTAGGGAGTACAATATCAAGAGCCCTGGATGAAAAGCTCAATTTAGGAATAAAAAAACTTGAATGAGAAATAATCAGAATTAGGACTGGAGAGATGGCTCAGTGGTTAAGAACACTGGCTGTTCTTGCAGAGGACCAGGGTTCAATTCCCAGCACCCACATGGTGGCTAACAGTGATCCATAACTCCAGTTTCAGGGGTTCTGACACCTTCTTCTGACCCCTGAGGGCATTGCGTGACATGGGTACACTCACATACATGCAGGCAATACACTCATATGTGTAAAAAAAATAACTAAAAAAAGAGAACTAATCAGAATTAGAGCAAAGATGCATCATATTTGCAGACTTGGTCCTGGTTTTCTCTAAAAACAATATATTCTTCTGCTTATTTTGGTCTGTTAAGCTGATGAGAAGGGTTTGAACTGAAAGGGGATTATAAACAACGTTATAATGGGAAAACACTGACCACTACGAACTTGAATCAGAATGTACTTGTTGAGCTGTGTATGAGGTACCAGGATCATCCTTAAAGGAACCATCTACTTAAGGAAAACAAGCCCAGCTAACACTTGGTAAGTTAGGAAATTCTGTTTCCTCACTAGCTTGATCTCTCAAAGAAGCATCCCCTTCTTTTTCTGAGACAGGGCCTAAAACTAGCTATGAGCCTAGGCTCGCCTGAATCCTCCTGCTTCCTTCCACCTCCCAAGTGCTAGGATACCAGACATATGTCAGTGTACCCAGTGCAAACCAGTGTTTTCTTGTCTGTACAGCTGGTTGGTTTTGGTTTTCCGAGACAGTCTCTCTTGCAGCCCAGGCTGGCCATGAACTCGCAGCAATTCCCCGACTCAAATCTCTGAAGGAAGTATGTACAGTGTTTAGAGAAAACTAAAACCAAGCCTGCAAATACGATGGATCTTTGCACTAATTTAGATATTTCTTGTTGGAGTCCAGCTCTAGGAAGCTAGTTTTATTAGAGGATGACACTAGGTTGGGCTGTGCAGGAGGAGGAAGATGAACAGGAAAACTCTAAAATGGCTCCGTGGCAAATTCCACTTCTTGGTCCTCTTACCATTCCACTTTCAATCTTTTTATATTTATTTTTAATTATGTGTATATGCCTGTGTGTGGATGTGCATGTGAGTGCAGGTGCCCATGGGAGCCAGAGAGTCAGACGCCCCAAAAGCAGGAGTTATAGGTGTTTTTTAAATTTTTTTTTTTTTTTTGCACAAGAAGCTAGAGTCTATCTTTGGGCTTAAAGTTAAACCTTAGGATTCAGCTGTAATGAAAATGTTGCAGGGGTGAGGCAAGGGTAAGGCAAGCCAGGGGCATCATGCACAGGCTTTCTCTCCCCAGACAATAGACTGCCAATAAGTCTTTCTTGGCTCTGACCTTTTCCATCCTCACCCTTACAATAAGTGTCCTAAGTGGTATTTGTGGATCAATGTCCACTGGTGTACATAGAGGGCCACAAGGGCAGTGGATGACTCTTCAAAGTGACAGTGTCTCTTCTTCACCCTCAAGGGTTCTGCAGCAGAGAAGGTGGCCTCTGGAGACTCCATTCTCTGTGGGTCCCTCTAGTTTCCCCAAGCAAATCATACCAGAGTCCTCTCCTAGACCCAGTTAGGTTCTGAGCCACCTCCAACCATCATTGCAGTAGGGCTGCCAATGAAGGAAGCCACACAATGAAATCCAGGGTTTAAGTGGTTACTATTCGTGTTGTCTCACATCTGGTTAAACTGCCCTCATTCATTTGTCTAAGCATCACATTTACTGAGCATATACTCAGAGGGCAAAACCCTATGCTCTGCCCTGCAATGCAACTTATTAACAAACATCCACTCTTTCTTCTGCCTTTCCTTGATACTTTTTTTCTGAATAAAATTTGAAGATGAGATTTCATCATTTGAATGTCTGTGATCTTGGGCAGAATGTTAAGCTTGAGTTGCAAGTACCCAATGTTTAAATGGGGTAATTTTATGAAGCTTTATCAGGATTACATAAGATGTTTAAAGATATCCAGCACAGTGCCTGGCACACTGGTACTCAAAAAATCTTTTTTATTTTCCTTTATTCCTCCTCCAGAGGATTTTCCATCCAAGATGTGCAAAGTCAGTTATTACACTTGATCTTACCGTTCCTGTATAGTCAAGGCCAAGGGCTCAGCTCTATCTTTGATTCAGAAGCCTCGCTCGTCCTCCTATCCCTTGGGCTGTGTGGTTTTACAAGCGGTTTCTGTCTCCACCAAAGTCCAGTTGAAGTCAACTGGGTCATCATACAGAAGAAAAAGTCCAACGGGGATAGGGTGGGACAGCAATGAACAGAGGCCACAGCCCCAGAGTCTCCACTCCTTCCTAGCATGTTGGGGGGACAGGCGAGGGCACACCGAGCCCCACAGGAGGTCAATGCCAAAGTCCTTGGAGCTATGATGACAAAAATGGATCCCATTTCTCCAGCCAGAAGTTCCTTCTGGACATCTCGAGAGCACCAGCTGAGGTCCTCTGGGGTTCACAATGACCACCGGGAAGGTTCCTGAGGTTCCCAGATGGTTCCATGGAGCCAAATCCAGAGACCACGGTGGTGCTAGGTCTAGTGACACTGAAGGCCTCCCTGGGGCCTGGGGCGGGTGCGCTCCACACTGGGGCTCTGCACGGCAGCCAAGTGCAGGGTGCCCTGGGCATCTCCCTCCACGCCGCCCCCCACTCTCTAGGGGTACAGGCGGCAGTCACTGGGGTGCACCCACTTGCACGGGGCCCCCTGGGGGTGGGTCCCACACAAGCATCTCTGTCCGGGAGGACTGTCCGGGACTGCAGACCCGCCCCTCAAGGTGACGGCCGGTCCCACCGCCCCCGCCCCCGCTTACCGGGACCGTCCGCGTGCGGGACGCGGGTCCAAGGCCGGCGGACTCTACCCCGCGGGCCCGCGCAGCCCACGGCCGCTCCGGAGCCGCCGTGCTGGGCCGAACGCCGGGAGGCAGCGGGCGTCGCGGGCG